CCCTAAACCCTAAACCCTGTTCATGTAGGTACAAAGGGCCCCTTTGGGAGCTCACAATCTCGGCAGGGCGAGCCCCAACAAAGTGGCGATTCGGATTTCGTTGCCAAGGGCGCCAAGGGCAAGCTCGGTTTAGGGTTTAGGGCTATAGGGTTTAGGGGTTTAGGGTTTAAGGGGTTTTAGGTGTTTAGGGGATTAGTGGTTTCGGGGTTAGGGGTTTAGGGTTTAGGGGTTATAGGGGTTTAGGGCTTTAGGGGTTTAGGGTTTTAGAGGTTTGGGGTGGTTCTAGCAAGGCATGGGCAACCTGGGGGCTCCTGTAAAGGGTTCCTGAAAGGGTTCTATAAGGGCTACTGTAAGGGTTTCGGGTTTAAGGGCATAATAATTAGAAGAGGGTTTGGGGCCTCTTTAAAGGGTTCCTTAAAGGGTTCTATAAGGGTTACTATAAGGGTTTAGGGTTTAAGGGCCTAATAATTAGAACAGGGTTTTGGGGCTTCTTCAAAGGGTTCCTTAAAGGGTTCTATTATATAAGGGCTACTACAAGGGTTTAGGGTTTAAGGGCCTTAATAATTAGAAGAGGGTTTTGGGAGTCCTTCAAAGGGTTCCTTAAAGGGTTCTATAAGGGCTACTATAAGGGTTTAGGGTTCAAGGGCCTTAATAATTAGAACAAGGTTTGGGAGTCCTTTAAAGGGTTCCTTAAAGGGTTCCTTACACGGCTACTATAAGGGTTTAGGGCGTATGGGCCCTTAATACTTAGACTAGGGTTTTGAGGTACGTTATACTCTATTTAGAATAAAGAACTCCCAAAAGAGTATAGGTAGTTATTTAGGCCCCTATATTGCCTTACCCTTCAAGGGGTATAGATACAAGGGTTTAGGGTTTAGGGTTTACAAGGCCCTCATGGTTTGCAGCTGTTTGTCCGCATGTAAGGGTTCTGGGGCTATACCCTGCACCCCAAACTGAAAAGCTAGAAGAACAGCACACCACAGGCTGCTTGTAATCCTCGTAGGGGTCGAGGGATTAGATAAGGGTCGAAGGTTTGGGGGTTCACATGGATTTACAGGTCTAGGGTTCACAACATAGGTGTCAAGGGAAACGAAAAAGTACTATGAACTGTCCCGAGACCCTTGGCTCATCGTAGTCCTAAGAGACAGTCACCCCAAACCCTAAACCCTGAACCTGACCTAATCGCCGAACGATAGTAGTCCCTCGATAAGGCCCCTTGATTCCAAATCCAAGGCCATTCGAAGAATCGTTGGAGGACGACGGTCTTCTTCTGCTGTTACTAGGATGGAGTCCACCGTTTAGGGTTTAGGTTACGGTTTAGGGTTTAGGGTTTACAGTCTAGAGTTGAGTGTTTAGGGGTCGACGGCTTAGAGTTCAGGGTTTAGAGTTTAGGGGTAAGCGCTTAAAGTTTAGGGTTAGAGTTCGAAGCGAAGTTATTAGGAAACACATAAGGGCTTAATGGGGAGTACAAGGGCTGTCTTTGAGCAGTAGATCAACGGGCTTAATTTGTTCATTGTCGTTGATTGTTAGGTAGGTTGAACATCCTAAACTCTAATTAATGGTCTTAGTAGCAGACTGAGTACACTTGGCACTTTTTCGTGATAATATGAACCATAATCCCTAAACCCTAAACCCTAAACCAATCGAACTGGAAGTGTACACTCTTTGGGCTTATGCACTCTTCAACTTTTTCGACGCACACTGTTATCGAACAACTTCTCGGCTTGTCCATGCTGAGTCTCCGCTTGGAACAGTCGTGACTTGAGGAGGTGGCGTCTCGCCGCGCTGTGCAGGCCTACACCCTAAACCCGAAAACTCGCTAAAGAGCCCAAACCCTAAACTCCCAAGAACCCTAAACCCCGAAACCCTAAAACAACTCTAGAAGCCTTAAGAGCACGGTTCAAACGAATTGGATCACTTGGAGATGTTGATTTCGCCCTGGGCGGTCTGGAGCAATCTGTGTTCAGGTTTGACAATAGCTGGGTTCCTTCAAGGAGTCAAATTTCGATTATTTACCACAATATAAGCAATTATATATATATATATATACATATATATATATATATACATTGTACCTGCTTGCTGAGGCTTGAGGAACCTGACGAGTGGCCGCCTCCGTTCATCTCTCAAGCTTTTAAATGTGGCGACCCTTCCTGCTCCTCGCCGCATGGGCGGCTTCCTTGCTGCAAGACCCCACCGCTTCTGTGCAGTGTGAGTGCAACTGCACTTGCGCAGTGGAGCAAAGCGAGTGCGCATCCAGCAGCTGGATCGAAGTGGGAGCTGGTCAAAGGTCTGT